GTCTCAAGAACATGAATTGGGGGTTGTGTTAGAAGTAGTAATTTGATGTTCTGTTAAAGCTAGCATTCGACTATGTCGAACCAGCTGGTCGATATGTCGAAGTAGATAGTTGAGATGTAGAAGTAACTAGTTGATATGTAGAAATCTGTTGTATTCGATTGAGTCAAATAGAACATATAGTTGTTATGTCGAAATGCAAACTGTAATATTGTATTCTGCATTGTGTATGTTTTGCACATGTGTCTATTTGTATATTTTTTGGTATGGGCTTTAGTTGCCTATATAAAAGTATTGTATGATGTAAAACATAACAACTCCACTCCATACAAATCCTAATTTTCATAATTCAGTTTATAGTTTTTCTCTCTTTTTTTTCATTCATTCTTTCTTCAAAAATCTTTGTTTCATCAAAGGTTAAAATGGATAAATACAAAAATGATTTTTTAACTATTGATTTATACAACAACCTCCCCATGAGCAACTTTAGTTTGATTTTTTTTTAAGATAGAGGTTAAATTATCACCTTTTGTGTTGTTCGCCTTAGCAACATTTAGTTCCATTAAAAATATTTTATAGTTGTTATTTATCTTGAATTTATTTTTAATTCGAGTTTAATTAAAGGCTTAATACCCTTTTTGGTCCTCTACCTATGACTTGGGGTCCATTTTGGTCCTCTTCCTTTTAAAAGTTCCAAGTTGGTCCCTTACGTTGTCTAACAGAACCAAAGTGTTCCTTTCTGTCAAAAAATGGGTAACGACATTAATTTAGATGACGTGGAAGCTGAGGTGGATGGGTGGATTTTCTATTCATCACCTTCTTCTTCCTTGTTGCTGAAATATTTTTCTATTTTCCCCAAAATTCAACCCTAACGCAAAATTCTTCCCAAAATCCCCTAATTGAAACCTAAATCATAATCTAATCATGAGTTCTATGGGCGGTTCGTAAATATCATCTAGAAACCGACGTGAATCGTAGGTCTTTAGCAGCTCTAATCTTCCATGGAAGCCTCTATGTCGTTGTGGAGACAATGATATACTTCGTAAGGCAAGAACTGTCAACAATTATGAAAAGCTTTTTTGGGGTTATCATCATTTTAAGGTAAGGTTTAGTCTGAATAAGATAAGTTGAATGTTGTTAAAATGTCTATATAATTCATTGCAGTTTGCATTCTCAATCTCTATAGGGATATAACAATGCTGGTTATGGATTTTTTTAATGGTTCTATGAAGAAGCTAGAGGTGAAAAGGAGCAAATCTTGATGAAGAATCAATGGAAGATAAATGTGCTTAGTCAAGAGATAGAAGAAGCCAAAAAAAGAGGTTGAAGTTTTGAGGCTCAATAATATGGAATTAGAGGGTGCTTTGAAGAACACCATCAAGTGCAAGAAGATCTGTAAATTTATGTTCTATGTTGTTTTATTTGTTTTAGTAATCAAATTATTGTAAAAGAATTCAAGTTGTTGTGAGAGGTTGAAGTATTCTATTCTTTGTTTTAGTGTTTAAGTTGTACTAAAACTTGCATTATTCAACGTTTCCAAGTTAGTTGTGTACTTTTGTGACATGATTTTGTTGGACAAGTTAAATTTTCATTGTAGTAAAATTTGTGTTCTGTTGTTATAAGATATAGTTTGAAAAGTTAAATAACAAAATGTTGGTATAACAGAAATTTGATCAACATAAACCTTGTTCAAATTTGAGAACGTAACATAAACCTTGTTTAAAATATCATAACATGGCATTGTTACAGATATTTGTTCAAAATAACATAAACATAGTTCAAATGGAACATAACATAAACCTTATTCAAAATACCATAACATGGCATTGTTACAGACATTTGTTCAAAAGAACATAAACCTTGTTCAAATTTGAGAACCTAACATAAACCTTGATCAAAATACCATAACATGGCATTGTTACAAACATTTGTTCAAAATAACATAAACATAGTTCAAATGGAACATAACATAAACCTTGTTCAAAATACCATAACATGGCATTGTTACAAAAACTACATAAATACCAAATCAACATAACATAAACATTTCAAAACAACATAACATCAATCATGTTCTTAAAATAGAAACTACATAAATCTAAATGGGCTTCTTTGTGTTGTTTCTTTTGGTAGGAGTGGTCCTCCTAGTTGTAGGTCTCACTGCATTTTGTGATGCACGTAGCCTGATGGTTAGTCCTTGTGAAACAGAAGCTATTGTAACAAATGTTTGTCTTAGTTTCCTAAAAGGAAAGTTCAGTGGCCTTGCTTGTGCTGGTGTTACCCTAGGCTGACTTGCCTGAGTTAGGGTTGCCCTTGGTTGAGTTCCTTGAGTTGGTGCTGGTGTTGCTCTTGGTTGAGTCCCTTGAGTTGTGGTTGGTGTTGCCCTTGTATTTTTTCCTTGAGTTGGTGCTGGTGTTGCCCTTGATTGAGTTCCTTCAGTTATGGTTGGTGTTGCCCTTGTTTTTTTCCCTTGAGTTGGTGCTGGTGTTACCCTTGATTGAGTTTCTTTAGTTACGGTTGGGGTTTCTCTTGTCTGACTTCCTTGAGTTGGTGTTGCTCTTAGTTGACTTTCTTTAGTTGGAATCGATGTTGCCCTTGGTTGATTTGCTTCTGTTGGTGGTTGAGTCCTCTTACAAGTGGATTTATTGTGTCTAATCTATCTGCACCTTGTACACCTAAGTATCATGCCACTTTTTCTCATTTTCTATCTGATCCATCAACTTCACGCTGCTCACGGTTCCTCCTCTTCTTTGGTCTTCCTGGCATTGTTTTGAATTTTGGTGGCTGGACATCTGGGTACTCTGTTCTGACCAATAAATTTGTTCCATTAACCGAATAAGTATAGGTTCATAAACAGAAATATACCTTGCCTTCTTATAACACAATGGGATGTAATCATCAATACTTAGATTTCTACTCTTCATTGCAGACAAAGCATGAACACAAGGTAGACCAGTCAATTTCCATTTTCTGCATGAACAATCATGTTCCTTCAAGTTGACAACAAAAATATCACCTTGATTCTCAATGTGTCTTACTTCGAATATAAACTCAGATGACATCCTATAAAATAGTATAAAAAGTCACATAAAGTATAAAAACTAAAGAAATAATTTGTATTAAAGCAGTTTTTGTACCTTACTATCCAATAATTTGTGCAACTGGTTGTTTTTTCAACTTTCCTTCTGATGTTTGGCAAAACATCCCCATCATTTAATAGGGAGAATTTCACCATATTTACTGCCCACCTTTCCATGATGTATCCCCTAATTTCTTCTAGCATGGTTACCAATTGCTATGATTTGCTCCAATATCTGGGTGGAGTTTGCATCATGTGCTTGTAAGTCTCTTCATGTATCTGTCGCATACCTCTCATCTCCCTTTCCCATGCTTGTGGGTAAGTAGCCCTAACAGCCTTCAAAATTATCTCCTTCAACATTTTTCCTGGATACTTCTTTCTGAAATTATTGTATAAGTGTCTTACACAAAATCTTTGTTCAACATTAGGTAGTAATTCATCCATTGCAGGAAGAAGACCCTGAAAAACTAAACCAAATGATGGTGACTACATAGATTTACTAGACACATCATACTTTAACTGAAAATGTAAAAAAATAGAGTGGTACCTTTCGCTGATCAGAAATGAATGTATATGTCCTACATTCTTCCCTAACACCTAGATCATCAATGAGGAGTTCCAAGAACCACGACCAGTTGTCTTTAGTTTCCCCTTCCACTACAATAAAAGCTATAGGTAACATCTGGTCATTGGGATTTGTACCAATAGCTGCCAAAATCTGACCTCCACAAATCCCCTTTAAGAAGCATCCATCAAGACCAATAATAGGCCTACATAGCTTGAAACTCTTTTTGCAAGCAACATAAAAAATATATAACCTCTTGAAATAAGGCCTTCTATCCTCAACACTTTCTTGGACTGGTGTGACATTTAACTTGACAGTTGAACCAGGATTTGTCCTTAGAATTTCATGACAGTAATCATATATCCTTGTGTAATCCCCAAAAAATGAGCCATCAACCATATCCCTAGCTACAAATCTGGCCCTAATTGCCTTTGTCTTATTGACCCCCACATTCAATTTCTTTTGAGCTTTTTCCTTTATATCCTTTAGCTTCAACTTGGGATTATTTTCCAATGAACTTTGTAACCTCTTGCTAAGCCATTTTGTACTCATCATCTTTACATTATATTCCCTAGAGCAATTTTGGTTATCAACTATTTTCCTTAGTTGTCAAGTCTCCTCATTAGGAAACTTCCCACAATATTCCTCCCACTAGCAACCTTCCTTACACACCATCTTAACTCTTTTTTTGTCATTTTTCAAAAACTTAAGACCTCTACCATATTGGACAACATATGTTTGAATTGCTTCCTTAAAGTTATTTTTTGAGTTAAAATAAGTTCCCATCTCCCATTTATAATGAGCCATATGTTTCAATAACTTAAAAATGAGACACTTCTTCTTCCTACTTGGTTCATCACTCTCCTCACTATCACATCCACTATCTAACTCCTCACTATCATATAAACTCCCATTCTCCTTTCCACTGTCTCCTTCCCATTTCTTTTTCTTCTTTTTAGTTGTTTTTTTATGGTTTCCATCATATTCAACAAGATTGTCTATGTGTTCTTTAGAATAATCCACACTCATACTAGAATCATTAAATGTAACTTCCAAAGCACTATCATAATTGTAACTCTCATCTTCACTATCATCAGAGCTTGTAATCTCATTCAACAAACCAGCATTAGTATCTATAACATCATGAACCTCACCATCATTGTTCACACTCTCACCTACATTCATACCCTCAACACCATTATTGTTCACACCTTCACCTACATTCATACCCTCAACACCATTATTGTTCACACCCTCACCTACATTTATACCCTCAACACCATTATTGTTCACACCCTCACCATCAGTACCTACATACATATCCTTTATGACTTCTTCATAAAGATCTTCAAGGATGGATTATACCTCCGGATTAACCATATTTAATGGTTCTTCATCTATGGCTTCTTCCTCCATCATGTTTATAGGATTTTTAACATATTCTGGTTGAGATAACGAATGTTCTATGTAAATGTCAACTTTTAAATGTGCCCTACAGAGGTCAGCTACATCTAACGCACCCTTATCATCCTTAAGAACATTCATTCCAAACGTGGGGTAATTATAATATATAGTGTCTACCTCAGTGTAACCTAGATCTTTCACAACACCAACCGATTCAAAGTATGACCACCTATCCACATCTATCTCTAAATCATTACATTTACCCCCTACATAATCAGTTTTTTCAGAGTCCACAAACTCACAACTATAATGAATTTTCAAACACAAAATTTCTTCCATTTCTACCTAGGACAATAAAATGCAACATTACAAACAAGAAAACGCAACATTACATACAAGAAAACGTAACATAATAGCAGATTTCAAAAGGGGAAAAAATCCTAGATACCTAATCAGATCAAGGAAATGCAACATTTGCACACATTCAGAGTAGACAAGGACGTGTAAACTAACCGTCGTCTATGTTGCGTCTTCGTCTTCCTCAGCTTTCTTCTTCTCTCTTCGTGCTCTTCATCTTCCTCAGCTTGCTTCTTCTCTCTTCGTGCTCTCTTAGGGCTTTCTATTTCAACACATGTTTTAATCAATGAAAATTATAATATTATGCTACTTCAGATGACACCTCAGCAAGACCAATACCTATCATGCCACATAACCAAACAATTCATTACACCTTAACAATAACTTAACACGTCAGCCAGATTTTTTTTATAGTAATCTAATGTTTCTAACAGACAGGATTAGCGTGGTACCATTTTAATAACGTAAGGGACCAACTTGAAACTTTTAAAAGGAAGAGGACCAAAATAGACCCCCGACTCATAGGCAGAGAACCAAAAAGAGTATTAAGCCTTAATTAAAATACACTGACAGTGTAAAAACATTATACACTGTCATCCAGTTAAAATTATTCCTTTTGACACATAAACATGTAATTAAAAATAAATAAATAAAATCATAATAATAACAACTTCTCCACGTTTCTCTTTCTATTTCTTCTACCACGTTCTTCTCATTATCTTTGTTTCCAATTTCAGTTGCTTCCATTATTCTTTCCCCCTTCATCCATCTATTCAAGACCGATCTTTATACTTTCATAAATTTTATCTCACAAACTATATTTGCATATCTTTACATGCATAAGATTAAATCCTAAACTAATCATCTTCTCGTATTTTTTGTGTGACCTTCCAATTTTTTTCTCGTTTTTTCTTTTAATATTAAATTTAAGTTGAATAATTTATGGACTTCTATCGGCTGTTGAAACTTTATAAAATTTAAATCAATGGTAGCTTGAGTTTTAACAAATGATATGGTAATTGATTAAAAGAGAGAGGATAAGTATGCATTCAATTTTACTAGCTTTACTAGTGCAACATCATTTTTATTATCATGTTTAACAGTTGTGTAATTGTTGTTTGTATTATTAACAGATTAAGAGATGCAAAACATACATGAAGATTTAACCATAGTTAGCTCTTATGACATGCTTGAAAGTGTTGTTGGTATTGATCCTCTCAATAGCAGACTACCAGCATAGCCTCCCTTAGAGCCATACGAAGGAATGGAGTTTGCATCTATTGAAGAGGCGATAGTTTACTACACAAGGTATGTTAAGAATAAAGGTTTTAGCTTTCGTATGAGTTGTGTTACTAAATCAAGAATAAACGGTATGATAACAGGTCAAGAATTTCTTTGATCAAAGTAGGGATTTCGGGCAAAAAAATATGTGAACAAAGAAAGTAATAGTATTATCGTACATGATAAAACAATGGTAGGATGCAAGGCAATGCTATATTTAAAGAAAAATGGAGAAATATGGGTTGTTTCAAGATTTGTAAGGGACCATAATTATGCACTATGTTATCCTAGAAGTACACAGTTTATTTGAGTACATAGAAAAAAATACTAATGCGCAAAAAAAACTTATTTATGTGTTGCATGATTCTGGTTTAGGCCCTAGGAAAATAAGATATGTCTTATGTACTAAAAGTGGTGGTGTTGATAGTGTTAGATTTAGTCAACAGGATGTTATCAATTACTTAACTGAGAAGAGACAAAAGAAGCTAGAAAATGGAGATACCAAAATAATGTTATCATACTTTAAAAGTTGTCAATTGAAGAATCCAGAATTTTTCTATACTTTTCAAATGGACGCTGAAGGAAGATTAGGAAATTGCTTTTGGGTTGATTCAAGTCCAAAATGATATACAAATACTTTGGTGATGTAGTTACTTTTGATCCGACGTATTTGACAAATAAATATAAAATTCCTTTTGTTCCATTCACAGGAGTTAGTCATCATCAACAATCCATTCTCTTTTGTTGTGCTCTATTATGGGATGAAACTAGAGAGTTTTGTTTGGTTTCTAAGTACTTGGTTAGAAGCAATTGGTGGAATTTGTCCTAAAACTATCATCACGAATCAGGATGCCACTATTAGTAATGCAGTTGCAAAGGTATTTTCAGAGGTTAATCATCATAATTTCATGTTGCATATTGAGAAAAAAGTTCTCGAGTACTTGAATCGTGTCTATCACGAACATGGTGAATTTAAAAATCAATTTTACAAGTGCATCCACTAATATACAACTATTGAATAATTTGATTTTGATTGGAAAGCAATGATAGATAAATATGAATTACAGGATAATTAGTGGCTAAATAAGATATACTCCATTTAAGAAAAACGGATTCCCCCTTATGTACATCACAATTTTTTTTGCAGGAATGTCTACCACTCAAAAGAATGAAAGTACGAATAAATATTTTAAAAAATTTTTGAATTCAAGTACTCCATTAATGGCAACTACAAATTCCATAGTGAGTACTATAATACAACTTAGACAACGAAATTTTTCCGTTGCAGTTGTTATGGCCCTTTATCAGTCTTTCATCAAATTCAAACTCTTGTTGATTAGAACTAATTGGTTTTTTTGTATCAGTTTCTACCTTTGGTTCTGTCTTTGATTCATCACTCTTTGGATCAGATTTTGATCTCGAATATCTTCTAAGGAAAAAAGAAATACTGGGATCTCGAAAACCTATGACTTCCAAAGGATTCCAATCTATGTCAGTAACTTCCAGTGATGGTTTCCTCTCTCAGTTCATTACTCTTTTGGTTTCTTCCTCATCAGAAAAACAGTTTGTGAATTTAGTGCATTGTAATAAAGTTGTAAATTTTAAACGATTTTAAATAATGACAGTCGGTTATGAAGTTAACAACAAGTAAGATCATATTCTTGAGTTAAATGCAACTAGTGGAATTTCTTTGAAATTAATAAATGTGTAAAAATATTTGGAACAATAATGCGTTGTTTAGAGGCTTCATGGTTAAAACAGCTTCTTTGGTTGATTGGATAAAGTTGTGGAGCCAAATTTACAGCTTGCCTTCAATAAGTTTTGGAATAGTAATACTCCGTTTAGAGTTCAGGACTTTGTGTGGAAGGGCTTTATTAATAGGATTCTAAAAAAGGATCAATTATATTGCAGAGGCATCATCAATTCTTCTCAGGATCTCCCTTGTGCCTTGTGTTTTCAAATAGATAAGATCTCAATCATTTTTTTTTTGGGTGCATAATTTCTAAGCTCATTTGGGATAGTGTGGTGCTTGGATTAGTTTGGTTTATGTCATTGAAGAGGTTATGTGGAAGAGTTTTTTGAGATGTTTTGGTGATGGTTGTTTTAATCATATGAAGAATGGCAACTTAGGGATTATTTGGATGGTGGCGTGTGGAATATTTGAAAGGTTAGAAATTTGATTTTTTAACGCGAATTTTTGTAGTATTTTGGATATGTTGTGGGATATTAAGCTCACAGCTTGGAAGTGGTCTTTTATTAGGAAAAACTCTTATTCCAACTATAACTTCTTTGAATTTTGTGAGGCTCCGATATTTTGTTTATCTTTGGATTAATCGATTCATGTCGCATGACATCTCATTTTTGCATCAGCTAACTACTAACGGGTTACGTAGTCTGTTTGTTTTGCAGGAATTACATCTGGTGCACTTTAACTGTTAAGGGGCAAAATAGTCATTTATTCACCGTTTGCTGACAGTTCATGAAGCTGAATCATCGCCATGAATCCATTGAGCAATTAGAGCCTCCATTTATGAGTTCTTTATTTTATTTGAAGATGAACAAAAGGTCACGATAATTTTGGTATCGGGATTTTTAAGATACGGTAATCAATTCAACGGGCCGAGACTCTGTCGTCAGTAGATTTCCGAGACATTTATTTTATCATATGGGTTTGATTATATTGAGATATCAATTTGGTTCGGCTCAAATCAGTGCAAGAATCCATTCTGCGGAGTTTTGTTTTAACAAGGCCTATTTTTCTGTTCTCCTGCTATCTGTCTGTCAAATTCTAAGGGAATACAGTGAAAATTTCGGCTCGTGACTGGATTTATTATATCTGTTTAATTGGGATTTTGGCCGAGTTGGTTCAGGGCATTGGATTTAATCATTGGAGAGAAAGTTGAATTTTTCAGTGCGGAGGATATTTGGTTTTGCTGTTAATTGGATTTCTCTACTGTTAATTGGATTTCTCTGATTTATTAGGGGCCGGTTACCGTTTCTATCATCAGGCAAGATTTAATTTGAAAAAAGATTTGTCTAGAACTCAATTGCGTCAGGTTTAAATCGGGCAACATGTTTTGGGACCGAGGGAGTTGATTCGAGTAATTCTTTGGGATTTATTTGCACGAATTTAATTGCTGAAAGTAATTCTGTTTGTTTAAGTTTAATCGGTTAAATTTTAATCGATTGAATTTATTCAGAGGCACTTAATCAGTTAAATTTAATCGAATATTTTTGTGGTTTATTTGGTGACGACAGATTTAAATTATGGAAAAGGGAATCGGAAAGTGATTTTGGATAGAAAATATATTGAATTTTTATTCATAATATTTTTTATTACAATTTACAAAAAGAAATAAAAAAATACAAGTTATTCCTAATTTCGTATTTTTCTGGTCTTCATGCTCGACTTCACGACTAATTCTTCGCCCGACTTTTTCGTACCTGCGTTAAACAGACAAAAACAGAGGAAAGCCGTAATGTTAGAATAATAAAAAATGGTTTTTGATAGTTCTGATACCCTCAGTTATCCATCATCGTGTACGTCGGGAGGGCAACGACAAAGTCGAAGCCGCCTCCCGACTCATATTCACGACCTCGGACTAAAACTGGAAGATATCTGTTTTTTTTCCCGAGACGGCCAGAGGAAGAGAAAAAGAAGTATTTTGGCAAGAAGTGATTATTTGGATAAGCGCTTATTC